TCTATAACAGTACTGTTGATTTTTGTTTGGGTGCTGTTCACTATTTGCCCACAGCTTGGACTTTAACAGGTTCTCCCACCCCGGATCAGGGTGGACCTGGGAACAACAGCAATTAAGGGGTGGTTCCATGCTCCTCAAAACTTCCAATCTCTTGATAAGAAATTTTGCTGTCAGATGTAGTTTATTGTGATACCCAGGATGAAAGCTGGGAGGAAAAGAGATGAATTTATACCTTTCCCAAGGTTATTTGTGTGAAAGTGAATGTAACAGCTATGGCTGAATTTTGAATTTAACACTAAAGTCCCCAATGGGATTTTACCAGGTTAACACACACACACACACACACACACACACACACACACACACACACACACACACATATATATATATATATATATATATATATATATATATATACTAATAATACCATTAGATAATAAACTAATGTTATTAATGAAAACAAACTTGTAAGCATGTACTGTTTTGTATAAAAAAAGAACCATTGAATGTCAAACAGACAGAGACACTATATAAGTAAAAACTAATTAAGAAATTTAGGAGTGACTACCATTTTCACACACAGGTTATCCTCAGGCACTTAATATATATATATATATATATATATATATATATATATATATATATATATATATTAATTGAGTTCACCCTCATGATGCAAGGAATTAAAGCCACTAAGACACAGTTACTGGGTATGGAAGAATTAAAAAATAGAAACATTACTAAGGAATGAGAATAAAAGAAGGAGGAAGACAGTAGATACCAATTGACGTTGCATTTAAATTTTTGAAGATCAAAATTGGCTGGAAAGCATGGAACTGGAAGATAATTACACAAGCAAGAAGTGCGAGAGAAGAAACTGTTAGCATAGAACCTACTGTTACATCTAGCCAACTCAACTCTAAATAGAAAATTTTCAGCCTTGGATGGCAACCAGTCTATAGGAAAGATAACTTGATTCAAAATTGAATTTTGTAGCCTTGATTGGCAACTTGCAATGTAGACTCAGTAAGAAAAGAAAATAAATATCACCTGGTAGCCTGGGTCATTTGTGGAGATATATCACCCTGAAAAAATGCACAATCACTAGCATTCTTGTCATGTGGGTTGTATATTTTGTCACAGGTAGAAGTGGTATCTACTTGCTAATGTTTTTCTCTTTATAACACTATGGTTACTGTGGAAAAGTAGTGTTGAAGGTTGACTGGTGATCCAAATTTGGTCTAAGGAGGTAAAAATATTTTTGATGTTAAAAAGATTGTAATGAATTTTTAAGAGGTCTATCAGTTTTGAAGATAGTATAAAAATTGAATTAGTTGATTTGTGGGGAGAATATTAATCAAGTATGAGCATAATGTGATCTAACAATTGAAAAGGTCAGGCCTGTTAACAAGCAGTTCAGCAGACAGATGTTACCAGAAATCATCCTGGGTCAAAGTTCAGGGTCTTGTTTTAGAAACCTTTTGATAGCAGGGAAGTTTTGAGGGTCATGAATGAAGCCATGTTGGAAGATTTAATTTAAAGATGACTGACACTCATACTATCACTGCTGATCTTTAATTATTTATTTTTTTTATCTTAAATTCTTACTGACTATTCTACAGGCAGTATGATTGGCCAGTAGAAAAAGTATTATATAATCACTGACCAATCAAATAAGGCTCTCTCTCCTATAAAAATGATGCCAGATGAAGAGAGAGAATTGCTAAAATCCCTGCCCAAGTGGGTGTATAAGCTAGTCAATGCTAGAAAGAAGATTGACTCTGCCTTTCAGGAGGGAGAAATAGTGGTACTGACCACAATCAGCCAAAGTGCTGAAACCATTCTTCCCTGATAAAATTCTTTTAAGGCTATCTTTGTACTTGCCCAATAGCATTTGGTTGATTAACCATAAATATAATCACCTATCAATCTTATCTTTCCAATTTTCAGTTTGGTATATTTTTTCTTATTTTCTGTTATGTCGGATATATGATTTCTTATTATATTACAATAAACTCTGTTTAAACTTCTTATCAAGTGCTTCTCTATCTTCTTTATTTTAAAAGTTGGCAACACATTTCATGATAATTGCATTCAACTGGACCAGACCAGTTACACAAGATTTTGATAAAGATCTTTGACAATCCTCTTTTACCACAGATCTTTCAAGACAGTGTGGGTGCAGAAAGCCTTGTGAGAGCAGAGATGATATAAGCATTAAAAAAAAAAAACACCCATCTCATCAACTATATATGGTTATATCTGCTTTATGAAGATTGTGTTTAGCATGAAACAGACTGTCACATCTGGGTGCTGATTTCAATGTCCACTTCTATATTTACATATGGCCTATCCCTCATATTGAGCACATTAACCCATAAATATAGCAGAACTTAAAATTATATTTTATCATATATATATATATATATTATTTTTATTATAAAAGATTATAACAAAAACATGTTGAAATTGATACACAATAGCTTTCGTGATTCGGCAACTTTTTCTCTTTTTCTTTCTCTCATTTGTGTGTGTGTGTGTGTATATATGTGTGTGTGTATATGTATATGTATATATATATGTGTATATATATATGTGTGTATATGTATATATGTATATATATGTATATATATGTGTATATATATATGTGTATATATATATATATATATATATATATATATATATATATATATATGTATATATGTATATGTATATATATATATATATATATCTATATGTATATATATATATATATATATATATATATATATATATATATATAATGAGAAGCCACGTATACTTTCTTAATATGTATATATAGAAAAAGTTTCAATTAAAAAATAATAATGTTTTATTTTATGAAAGTATTTATTTATTTATATATATTTGATATTTCAAATTGTCCTCAATTTTTCATCAGAAATAACTGTTTGTTACAAATAAATTAAAATTACTGTTTGTTAGCAAGTAGCGTCCTTCGTGAGATGTGGGCGTCACGTGATATGGAACGTCACTGTTAAATCTGTCATAAATATTTTAAATGTTGTTTAAAAAAAATTTTTTTACTATATCTAAAAAAATTGCTTAACTATTAAAATATTTATAAAGATTTAAAACACCTAAGTCTCTATTCAACCCTAGTTTATGTGTATTTAATTTTAAAATCCAATATGTTTCTTTTTTTCTGCATGTGAATGTGGAAGTAAAATCGGAATCTATCAATAAACATTTGCAGTTTTCTAATGTGTGTCCTGATTGATTGTAGTGTTTAGCTATGGGGGAATAAGGCTTGTTTTGACGTATTGTTTGTTTATGGTTATTGAAACGAAATCTAAAATTATTTCCAGACTCACCAATATATCCACTATTGGGACATAAGTTGCAGAATAAATAATAGATTACGTTATGGCTATATGCAGGTGAGGTTAGGTGGCTGTATCCTGATATTGGTGTTGGGTACAGAAAATATATTAGCTATTATTAAATGTTTGCAAACTAAGCAACGAGGTTTGTTACATTTGTAATTTCCTGATTGGTTTCTATTGTTTAGATATTTGGTAGAGGTGAGGGTAGCTGATAGGTTAGGTGATTGTTTCTTTGCACTTATGGGTGGTTTATCGAAAATGTCTTTGATCTTGTTGTCTAATTGGAGGTTCTTGTAATCCTTTTTAAATTGTGAATAATTTGTGGGAATATTGATTGTGGTTAAAAACCATGGGAATCCGATTGTTGTTTTTATTTTTCTTGTATGTGAGAAGTGTGTTACGATTTATCAGGATAGTTTTATTTAGTGTTTCTTTTATTATTTTTATTGGGTATTTGCATTTTAGGAATTGTTTTGTTAAGTTATTAATGTTGTATAGAAAATCTAAATGGTCTGAGCATATGTGTTTGATTCTTAGAAATGAGCTGTATACAATAGATTTTTTTAATTTAAAGGGATGACAGCTGTTAAAGTGCAGGAATTTATGTTGGTTTGTGGGTTTGTTGTATAGACTGGTAGAAAGTGTATGTTTGTTTAATTTTATCGTAACGTCTAAGAAAGGGATGGATGTGTGTGAGTGCTCCATGGTAAATTTAATTGTATCGTGGAAATTGTTGCAGAAAGTGAAAAATGTTTTTAATTTTTCTCATCCATGAGTCCATAGTAAGAAAATGTCATCAATATATCTAAAGTAATGTGATGGTTTATATTCTGAATTGTCTAGTATCTTCTTTTCTAGAATGTGCATAAAGATATTAGCATCCTAAAACCTTTATTGCCTGACATACCTAGTTATATTAGAGACACTACTGACTTTCTCAACAAATTACAAAATATTAACTTAGTCCACCATGATACAATTCTAGTAACGATGGATGTTTCGTCCCTTTACACGAACATTCCACATGTTGAAGGAGTATCAGCTTGCTATGAGTTCCTTAGTAACAAAAAATTACCTAACTACCAAATTACAGATATATGCCAATTAATAAATTTCATCTTAACACATAATAATTTTAAATTCAACAACAAACACTATTTACAGATTAGTGGCACAGCAATGGGCACAAAAATGGCACCTAGTTATGCTAATATCTTTATGCACATTCTAGAAAAGAAGATACTATTATTTGTATATATAGTCAGCATTGTTGGCATATCTGGCTGAAGGTGATCAATTCCCACTTTCCAGCCCGGATAATCAAAATGATTTATGTGGGCATCCTGGGTATGACAATAAACTACATCTGGCAGCTAGGTCTCTGATCAGGAGTTTTTGAGTAGCATTGAACTACCTCTTCATTGTTGTTCTTCCCAGGTCCACCCTGACCAGGGGTGGTAACACCTGTTAGGGTCCCAACTATGGACAAATAGTTAACTCCTAAACTTGGATCTAAAACTGTATCACAGCCTATTCATGTCTATCTATGTAGCTAGATAGATAGACATGAACAGATTGAGATTGATAGATAGACATGAACATGTATAAAATATATTCTGCATATATCTACAAATGTCAGAAAGATAGATAGATAGATAATGGTCTGATGAAGCACAAGGACAAAAGTATGAGGCAATCAGTAAGGATTGAACACTCTACTTAGTCATAACTGACCTAGCAAGACAAGATTGCTGATGATTACAGCACAAAAAGATGTCCTGGTCAGAGGAGAAAGATCTGAACATATATGTTCAGATTATTCTCCTATATATATATAGATTGATAGATATGAAGAAAGTGAGATAGAGAAATAGATAGGTAGACCTGAACAAACTTAGATAGATATAAACTTACTGAGATAGATAGATAGATAGATAGATAGATAGATAGATAGACAGACATGAACAGATATAAAATATATACTGCATATATTTACAAATCCCAGAAAGAAAGATAGATATATAAATAATAGTCTGATGTAGCACAAGGCTGAAAGTATGAGGAACTCAGTGAGGATGGAATTTACAACTTAGTCATAACAGTTCTAGCAAGACAAGTTTCCTAACAATTATACCATGTTGTGATGCTCCAGTCAGGGCATCTGAACACACACACACACATAGATAGATAGATAGATAGATAGATAGATCTGAACAGACTAAGATAGATAGATAGATAGATCTGAACAGACTAAGATAGATAGATAGATAGATAGATAGATCTGAACAGACTAAGATAGATAGATAGATAGATCTGAACAGACTAAGATAGATAGATAGATAGATAGATAGATCTGAACAGACTAAGATAGATAGATAGATAGATCTGAACAGACTAAGATAGATAGATAGATAGATCTGAACAGACTAAGATATATAGATAGATAGATAGATCTAAACAGACTAAGATAGATAGATAGATCTGAACAGACTAAGATAGATAGATCTGAACAGACTAAGATAGATAAATAGATAGATAGATCTGAACAGACTAAGATAGATAGATAGATAGATAGATCTGAACAGACTTAGATAGATAGATAGATAGATAGATAGATCTGAACAGACTTAGATAGATAGATCTGAACAGACTAAGATAGATAGATAGACCTGAACAGACTAAGATAGATAGATAGACCTGAACAGACTAAGATAGATAGATAGATAGATCTGAACAGACTAACATAGATAGATAGATAGATAGACAGACATGGACAGATATAAAATATATACTGCATATATCTACAAATGCCAGAAAGATAGATAGATATGAACAAACTGAGTTAGATAGATAGGCATGAAGATCATAGATACATAGACATGAACAGGCTCAGATGGATAGATTGATAGACATGAATAGACTGAGATAGATAGATAGATAGATAGATAATAGTCAGAAGGAGAATGATTTGAACAGAGATAGATAATGAATATAATTGGATTGATTATTATATATATATATATAATTAATTAATATATCAGAGATACAGAAAGCCATGGTAATATTTTATTTTGCAAAATTGAGAATTCATATCCTCCCTGGAATTATCATATTATATATAAATAAATATATATATATATATATATATATATATATATGGAGAGAGAGAGAGCTAAATAGATAGTTTTATATTTTAATGTGTAAACCTAATCCCTTTAAATGTTTTACCTAATATTTTAATTCAATGAAGTCAGTTTCACATTTTCTTATCAACAGTATATTTAGCTTAGAAATTAAAAAAAAGTATTTAGATATTTTTCATCAATGTTATTTCTCTGATATCATATTTATTTATCTGTTAACATTAGAGAAGGTACAAACACGTCAATAAAAACGCACGACAACCTTCCCAAGAATAAAGCTGACTGATATGAGTATGATGTAAGGGAGGTAACCCTAAAGATTATTTTACGGATCCTATCATGGGGTAAATGGTTAATCAGTAACTCGAAGATTGTGACTACTGCAGTAAACTAGATCTTCATTGGGTGCCAGAATAGTCCATTATTTATGAGGTATTGGCAGGGCGTAACGGTTGTGCGAACAAACGAAGAGAGAGACAAGTACAATTATTATATAATTGTTATTAGTCTGTAGAACCACATTTCTGTTACTTTTTAAGTTTCTTCTTCATCTGTGAGAAGATTGTTCAACATTTGCTATCATATAGGAGATTAAATATAATATAGCAGTTCAATAGTTTTGTCTTTATTTCTATCAAAATTTATCCTATACCTGTAGTATAAGTCGACTGCCTATTGATTATATAAAGATGGTGTTATTGTTACTTAATATAATCTTAGAATTTCAAAATAAACAAAATAACAAAGCCTATTCTATATCATGTTTTTCCTACACATGTACCCTAACAAGGAAACCATTGTTTTGTTTATGTTTCATGTGATCTTGTGAATACTGATTCTTCTACTTCCACTTCTTTTCCTTACTAACAGCCTGGTGTACTAATGGCTATTTACTTATACTTCATAGCCAATGACAAAATACCGCTAATAACAGTATGATAATGAATGATATTATTTTATTGTAAGTTTAGCTAAAGAAAGTTTAAGAAACATACTTATAACTCAGTTTACATTTTCTCAGCTGAGTTTGCATGGATACAAGTTGATATCATTGATATGGAATTATTCTTCAAATAGGCAATTTATTATGAAGTTATTCGAGTAATATATAAGGTAGAAATGGTTTTATTACTTTTATTATCAGTTTATTTGATAATGTGAATCTTTTCATGTATGTTATTGGTTATCGCCTACCAGCAAAACATCACTCCTCAAGGACACACATGGCCCAGTGGATAAAAGTGTAGCTTGAAGTAATCCAGTAACTTGACCTAAAGAGTTGTGAGTTCAATACCTGGCCATAGCAGAGGTGAACAAAAACTTGGAGAGTTGAGTTAAAGGGAAATAATTGAGATATCTAGAAGAGGCATGTCACGTGGAATTAGAACAATCTACCCTGGTGGACAAAATAAGGGGTCCGGTTTGAAATTCCAAAGCTGGAGTGTACAATGACCAAAACATGGTGAATACAACAACAAAGATAAGGTAACAGTCTGAACAATGTAAATTTGTTATGGTAATTTACCCACATACACATAATGAGACCAGAGTGAACATTAATTTATTTTTTACTTATATGTTAATAATTAAATAAATAAGAAATAGTGCCCTATAAATAGTATTTAATAATTCCTCTTTTTTATGTTTTATGTCCTCTCAGGATGTAGGCAATCATGGCTCTTCACAATTTCTTCTCCTTTATATCTCTCAATAAATTTTGACTTTTTATTATTTTGCCCAAACCCTGTTCGCCATCTATTTACTTAAGCTCATTAAGTATGTTATGTGCTGTTTTCCTCTGGCTCTCTTGCTCCCAATATGTCCTGTGAGTATCAGATTTTCCAAGCACTCCTACCTCATTATGTGCCCTTGAAATTTCAACTCACTCTTCCTGATGTTTAGTATAAGTTTCCTTTTGTTTCCATTTTGTCTAAAACCTCATCACTGCTCACATGTTTGGTCCATGGTGTCTTCAGTATCATTCTCTCTCATTTCTGTTGCTTCCAGTCTCTTCTTCATTTCTGAAGTGATTGTTTAGCATTCACTACCATATAGGAGGTTAGATACCATATAACAATTCAGTAATCTTTTCTTTGTTTCTAGCATAGGTTTTCTGTCTCTTAATACTCTTTAATTTTTGGAATGCATCTTTGGCTATTCCAGTGGGTCTTTGAAATTCAGTGTTGCACTTTTTTTTTACCTCTCTGTTAGAACACTTTCCAATTTGTAATTTGCATTTTGGGATCATCCTTTTGCTAACAACCATTCATTCTATCTTCTTGCAGTTTATGTTTAGTGCTTTTTTCTTGCTTTCCTTCACTACTTTCTGTAGGAACTTTTGTAGTTTTCTTTTTGTCTGCCATCAATATTGTGTCATCTGCATATCTTATGTTGTTAATATTATGGTCGTCAACAGTGAACCCATACAGGTTGAATAAGTCTGGTTAGTAGACACATTACACCTCTTTCTATTTTTGTATATCTGCTGAACTCATTCTCCCTTAAAAACTGTGATCATAACGACATGAAAGAACACGGTTACATAAAAGAAGTTACCTCCCTTGATAAATCGAATTATGATAGGGTTTAAATGTGAATGAAAATTTCACACTATTATTAATAATTTTTTGTTTTTTGCAGTATTTGATTCTTTTATAAGCCAAGTTTCTTCAGGATGGGCGTGATAATGGCTCTCCACAACTTCCTGTCTTTTATTGCTCTAAGTAACTTTTGACTCTTTACAATCCATCTTTGCCCATGTTTTGATATTCATTTACACAATTTTGTTAAATATGTTACTTCCTATTTCCTTTTGTTGGCTTCCCTATGTCCTGTGGGTGTTAAATTCTCTAGGCCAGCTTTCCTCATTTTGTTCCAGAAATTTCATCTATTTCTTTCTGACTGTAAAATTTCAGATTGTTCTGTCCATGGTATTCTCAGCATCCTTCTGTAGAATCACATTTCTGTTGCCTCAAGTCTCTTCTTTATTTGTGAGGAGATTGCCCAGCATTTACTATCATATAGGAGATTAGATATTACATAGCAGTTCAATAGTTTTTTTCTTGATTTCTAAGAATATTTTCCTATCTCTTAATACTTTGTTTAGTTTATTTAGTCTATTACTGTAGGACCCCAATAGTTAAATTTCCTGTACCTGCTTTTTTATGTCTCTAGTATATAACTTGTATTTTGAACTCTCTCTCTTTTGCTGGTGCCTATGATTAAATCATGCTGAAAACACCAGTTCTCATTCAATCACCAAAGTTAAGCAGTGTCGAGCCCGGTTAGTATTTCAATGGGGGACCATTTAGGAACACTAGGGGCTGTAAGTAACCTCCTACAATCCAAAATAAGTTTTGGCTTTAAATAACCCACAAAGAGTTGATAAAAACAAATTAGTCAAAGTCTCTTTTGCTGGTAACAATACATTATGTCTTCTCACAATTAACAGTTAGTCCTTTGTTTATGTTTTCCATTATTATTTGGTCTCTCAGATTATTCTTTCAGATTCCTTTCTGAATTTTCCATCAGCATAGTGTCATCTGCATATCTTATTTTAAGGTACAGTAATTTAATAATTTATATATATATATATATATATATATATATATATATATTATCAATTCACCCCAAGCAAGGTGATAATACCACTAAAATGCAAGGGTAGTGAACAAGAATTAGAAGACTTTAGAAGGAACCAAAAACCCAATCCTAAACATGAAAGAAGGGATAAACCTCTACTCCTGTTCAAAAGACAGGGGAGGACAATAGATGAAGCTATCTATTCCCATTGAGGAGAAAAAAAAAGTAAAAAAAAAAATAAATAAATAAAATTAATGGTAAATTGAATTTCAGGTTTTAGGTGGAGACATCAGAAGTATAGAAGTATGAAGTAGAATTTAGAAGGAACCAGAAGCCCAATCCTAAACAGGAAATAAAGGATAAAACTCTACTCCTGATCAATTTTTATTTACGTTAGAACCACAAAATAAAATCAGGTTTAATTATAGGTTTTTATATTAAAGCCTTCACAATATATAGCCACAATACTGAGATGAAATAGAAAAATATGATGAAAAATCCTTTTGACTCCTTCACTACTCTCATCATTTCATTGTCAATGTGAGAAAAAGAGCATGTAAAATCTATAAGACTAAAAAAGTAAGTTATTAATATTACAGTAATAATTAGAAGAGAAGTTAGAGTGCATAATAGCATTGAACCTAACCTTATTGCAGCCTGAAATTTTCACTAATCATGAAAAATTTATCACAAACCAGGATGGAGCACTAATTTAATTTAAAATTAGTGCTCCATTTAAGTTATATAAATTTGGTTAAGTTTGATTTGGGTGTAGGTTAAGAAAGTAGTTTAGGAAGGAAGGAAGAAAAGAAGGAAGGAGGAAAGTGTTAATGTAGCAGGGATTTTGTTTCCTGTCAATATCCCAACTGCATAAACAGCTACTCTCAATATGCTGTTAATTTAATTTTGAAACATTGGACTTGTTTTACTTTCAAGGGTTCAGAATCAAATTTAATTAGGTAGCTGATGTGCACCCCACACTTATAACTCTTGTCACCAACCTTCGATTTATAGGATTCAGGGTGGTTTTTGGAGATATTTTATAAAAAAAAATGGATCTTATAAGTAACAAAATACAGTCAACTACACTAGAAAAACATCTATTCCAGTCCCTAAAATTATAACTCCAAGACAAGGAATTGATCAGAAAAAAACAGCACCAACACAGCATCAGAAGTTATGATATATAAAATTAACTGCCTGTAATGCCTTAAGAATTATGTGGATGAAACTTCTAGAAACCTAAAAACCTGCATTTATAAATACAAAAGAGACACCTGTTAGGAGAAACCACTAAACTTCTTAGCAATACAGAAATATAAAAAATGCAATAACTTTGGTTTAAAAAATGCAAACTTAATAAAAAACCTTATACAACTAGTGGAGAAAATGCCTGAGAGGAATATTAACCTTTAACACTCTGCGTTATACATTAATATTACTTCAATTTCCACTGTATAATCCTTAAGCGCTGTCCTGGGTATGATGATAAACTACATCCAACAGCAAGGCCTCTGATCAGGAGGTTTTGAGGAGCGTGGTACCACCTCTTAATTGATGGTGTTCCCAGGTCCACCCTGATCTGGGTAATGTTAAAATATTATCAATGTCAGCATTAAATAACCCATGAAGGGTGATATGCCATAAAAAAAAAAACCCAAACCAAACCAAAATCCCTAAACTGCAGTAGATTAGTTCTTGATTTTAGTCAGCTATTTTCTTGTTCACATAACAGGACAAAACAACAAAACAAATATTTGAAATTCAGTGTGTTTTTTAAAACATATCAGTTATTGTTTATTTAGTAAATCAGCTCATGTAAGCGGGCGAGTTCTATGGGGTGACGCCAGAACAAATATTTTTGCTCAATAAACAAAGTTAGGGAGACGTGCCCCAGTGTGTTTTAAAGTGTTCAATGTTGGTTCTGGTAAGTCGAATGTTTCGGGCTGGTTTTGATCCATATCAGTGGTGGAACTGACAAACAACATATCACCAATATTCATAAAGCTTATACTTAAAGAATGTAAGATTCAAACATTTGCAGACGATATAAACTAAACTTATTGCACAACTTCCAACATTGGTCATATTTGTTAGTATTGTTCACTCATAACGATGTAGAGATAACACATGGAAGTGAAATGCCATATTTATTCCAAACAAAACTAAAACAATTCAAAAGACCAAGGTCTTTTAGGGCCGACTCGGACAGGGACACAACCGATCCTACTCTGACGTATCTGCGCGATACAGACATTTGTCTGACACTTCAGATTTTTTTGGATTTCTGGTCCGCTAGAGCATGTCTGTGCCCCAGTGTCTGCGATCGCCTCGATCCGGTGAGTATGGAGGCCAGTTATTCTCATGGGCCTCTGGAACAGTTATCTCTACCATCAGGTTGGTGCTGGATCAGGAGTACTCGCTTAAACACTATTCACAATGTAACCTAAAAACATCAATTTAGCCGTTTTCATTATTGTGTGCTTTCGTTGTAGTAGGGTATACGTTACTATGGAGATGGGGGGGTAGACTTGTCCGTGGTCTCTAAAAAGTTTCTCAAATGCCAGCCCAGCCACCATTTGTCCTGCTACCACACCAATTTAAAACAAATTAAATAAAATTGTTTTGACGGACTACGAGCTTTTTTTCCTCATGCCTAGGCCCAAATATTTATTCTCATGTAGTCACCATCACTTGAGGAGGTTTTTCCATGCGATGATCCCACATTGCAACTGAATGTGACAGAAGGTCAAGGTTTAATGTGGGTTTTTTGGTAATGTTGTAGATATATTGCTCAACCATTCCTCGATATAAATAAACTTTCCATTTCATATTTGGGAAAGCATTAGTGTGAAAATATTTATTCCAAAAACCCCACACAAACCGCGTAAGTACTGCAACTGCTTAAACACTATTCACAATGAGTTTTCATTATGAGCAATTTAAAAACAAATTAAATAAAATTATTTTCAAAATTTATCTCATGTAGAGGGATTTTTCCATGACAAGAATCCATGTTTTTAAGTTATAGATAGCAATTTACTTTCCCCTTTTTGGGAAAGCATTAGCTTAATGACACCAACCCCACACAAAGGTTGAAAGTATGGATTTTCAACCTGACAGAATGAGTATTGAAATTACTATTCAGTATAGCAATTGAAATTACTATTCAGTAGCAAGTGATCTAACAAGGCAAGTTTGCTAATCCTTACACCACGTTGAGGTACCCAAATTGACCTCATAAATCATTCAGTTCAAACCACCCAAACTTTTGCATTCTTTAATTGACAACATTTTAAGTTCACCTTATTTCATTACCTCTGGTTACAAATACACCATTTCAGTGACATAAGGTTACATACAGACATTCAAAACTGGACTTTATATATACTAGTTCCATATCAGTTGCTTTGCATATGACAAGATGATCAAATTTAATTGCTTGTCTATTTAAAAAAAATCATTTATTAGAAAAAATATTCAGTTTAAATAATAGAAAGAGTCATAAAAATGACTTTGTAGGATCAGTCTACCTGGAGAAAAAATAAAATCTGAGTGCTGTGTCCACAAATACAACACAATTTTTTATGCAACGTGAAGAAATAATCTTCACAGAAAAGGAAGAAGACCAAGCTAAATATGAGAGTAAAATTTATACAGTCAGGTACATGATACATATTTATACAGTCAGGTACATGTATTTACATATTAAAAATGAATGTTCTTTGTTGTAGCCATGAAGAGACTAATTGTTCAAAATAATGTCTCAAGTGAGTCTACAAAGTTTCGAAGTGTTTTTGTTGCAAGTGAGAAAATCATGTGGTATGATATGCCAATATGTGTATGTGTGCAAAGCACATGCTAATGAAACGTGTGTGACTGCTGACTGATTGCATGTGATAGCAGTAATTTTAAAATACAGTGAACAAAGAGAGGAAATATAAAACTTACTTTCATTTTGGTGTTGTAACTAGAAAAATCATCGCTGACATACATGTTGTCATGATACGTGTGACTATGTTGTTGATCAAGGCCTAATTAGGTTCACTGTCTTTCACCAACTGTACTTTACTGACTGTGTCATTGCAGATCTATAACTGATGAGCCATTTTTATTGCTATTTGACAGCCAGAGCTCGCCACATAAATCCTATCTGAGTTTTGCATGGAAATGTACCCAGTAACCTGAGCCCTGACACATTTCCAGGTCATTTAGAGTTCAACTGCACAGGCATTGTAGAGAGCACATCATGTGACTTGTCCTATCCAATCAGGTTCCAGAAACCACTTATTTAATTTGGAGCTGTGTTTAGTACAGAATTGTAAAAAAGTTTTTTGTATCTACTGAATTTAGTAAGATTTTTTTGTAGGCGACTCTTACTTCTTTGTTCTTCACTTATTAGCCGTAAAATATAGGAGTTTATATCTTCAAAAGACTGGCTTATACATTTTTTGCTGCTACCCAGGGTTTGTTACCAGACAGAAAGGGGAATTAACCCCAGTGATACAGATGTCTATTTCAAACCTATTTTACAAAAATAAAAACAATAACTTTAAGAAATAATTTTATTTTTACTGAATAATTTTAAAAAAAAATTTTAGTGCTTAAAGAATTAAGTTATTTTTCTTGTCTCCAGCTTCATTTTATTGCTCATCCTAAGCTAAGGTTTATCCAGAGTAGGAGGGGAATGTATTATTCCAATGTTTTTTTCAAATTCAGTCCGATTGCATGTCCATATATGCATATG